TAAGTTTTAAGTTAAGTTTATTAAGTTTTATTTTCCATAAATCGCCTGCGCGTTTTCAAAGTTTTTGAATTATGCCCACAAATATGACGAAAAAAAGCACGGCTGCATTATTATAACATCAGTAATAGTAATAATAATAAAAAAAAAACATAAAAGCAATATAATCATTATCGGGCATTGCATTTGAGCATGAAACTAATCACTGATATGCAGCGCTTTCAGCACGTAATAAATGTTCATGTTAATTAATAAGACGTAGGCTAGCCATTACAACTTTCATCTGAAAAAAATTTGCCAATGCAGATTCTCGGATTGCGCTTTAAAAACACGAAAGTACAATAAATTCACATTCTTAGACTACATTAGTGTCACTATTGTCTTTGACAGTCTGTCCTTCAGTGAAGAAGCAGTCTTTTCATATAGAGCATCTATTCTTGCCGTGACTGTTTTGCGTGACGGAATGTCATACTCGGGCTCAACGTAATGCATGAAATCTTTAAATCCTTCTCCGTCGATGAAACTAATGGGCAGCAAATCTTTCACCACCATTTCAGCGATTAGCTGTGTCATCTTCTTGGTTCTGCCTGCGTTGCATTTTGGTCTTATGGCAAATGATGCAATGCTCGTCTGAGTTGCCGCTCTGTTATCGCTAGACATTTTATGTACTAATGTTAGATTAGCGCATTGTACTTGTTGTAGATTTGTGTGACAGCATGGCACTGCACAGCTTGCACTGAACTGCATTTTCATCGGTCTTCTCAAAGTGAAGCCAGACATCACTACGTGACTTTGAGGCCATGATTCTCTCTCTTCTCACGTCTTTTGATGCATCCTGTGGCAAGCTAACCAATCAGAGCTCAGGGCGCCGCCCAAAGTGCTGCTATAACCAATCAGAGAAAAAAAAAAAGAAAAAAAATTTGATCATTGTTTACATGATCAATCATCGCTGTCATGGTCCAGTACTCGAGTACTGTTGCACATCCCTAACACACACAAAGAAAAACAAGTAGATAGAATTGAAAAAATAGAATCGATAAATGTAGATTAAATGTTAAATTAAAAAAAGAAGATAAATGTAGATAAAGTAGAATTAAAATAGAATAGAAAGTGCTAGAGTTAGAGGGTCAAATAAAGGTGGACAGATGTGTTTTTAGTCATTTCTTGAAGATGGCTAAGGACTCAGCTGCTCGGATTGAGTTGGGCAGGTCATTCCACCAGGAGGGAACAGTTAATGAAAAAGTCAGTGAAAGTGATTTTGTGCCTCTTTGAGATGGCACAATAATACGCCGTTCACTTGTAAAACGCCAGCTTCTAGAGGGCACATAACTCTGAAGTAATGAATTTAGGTAAATGGGTGCAGAGCCAGTGGTGGTTTTGTAGGCAAACATTAATGCCCTGAATTTTATGAAAGCAGCTATTGGTAGCCAGTGAAAATTGATGAACAGAGGTGTGACATGCGTTCTTTTCAGCTCATTTAAGATTAATCTTGCAGCGGCATTTTGGGTAAATTGTAGAGGTTTGATAGAAGTGGCTGGAAGACCTGCCAAGTTAGCATTGCAATAGTCCAGCCTGGATAGAACAAGAGCTTGAACAAGGAGTTGTGTTGCATGTTCTGATAGAAATGGCCTGATCGTCCTAATGTTGTATAAAGCAAATCTGCAGGACCGGGCAGTTTTAGCAATGTGGTCTGAGAAATTCAGCTTATCATCAATCACAACTCCAAGGTTTCTAGCTGTTTTTGAAGGAGTTATGGTTGATGAGCCTAACTGAATGGTGAAATTTTGATAAAGTGATAGGTTTGTTGAAACCACAAGCAGTTCTGTCTTAGCCAGGTTGAGTTGAAGGTGATGGTCCGTCATCCAACAAGAAATGTCTGTTAGACATGCTGAGATGCGAGCAGCTATTGTCGGATCATCAGGATGGAATGAGAGGCAGAGTTGAATCTCATCAGCATAGAAGGTGGTATGAAAAGCCATGTTTCTGAATGACAGAACCTAGTGATGCCATGTAGACAGAGAAGAGAAGTGTTCCAAGAACTGAGCCCTGAGGCATTTTAATTAATTAATTCATTTTAATTTATTTTAAAACTATATCTTTAAAACAGTCAATGTTACATTTGCATCAGAGATGAAAAGATGAAACAGTTTCTTATCAAGATTATAGTGATCAAAATGATCACCGTTATCAGCATGGTATTGTTAAAATGTGCTGGAATGCTGGAAATAAAACTTGTTAAATGATTTATATTTAAAATCAACAAACAACAAATAAAATAAATTTTTGTTTGCATAAACACTAAAACCATAACATTATCAATTATGTCCGGATTTTAAGCGACCACATGACAACAGTTTATCAGTTTATCATGAAATTTTCAAATGAAGCTTTTTCAGCCTTTAAATAAAGAAAAGGGTTAGGTCAAAATGATAGGTGATTAATAAATTATTATATGTATTTTATCTGCTCCATAAATAATTCTAGATACCTTATCCGAATTGTTTAAATGTGTAGAATCCACATAAGCTTGTTTTTGATCAACCGGTCAAACTTTACAGAAGGGCATGCAAATTCAGTCTGTTTTTTGGCCAAACAAAAACTGCACACAGGCTGAATGTAAATGTAAATCCACTCTCTGAAAGCAGGTGGTGCTTATGCAACAGCAGAATAAGAGCTGTTTCTGTAACCTCCATAGACAAAGCATTGCGATAAGATTAAGAACACTTCTTTATTAGGTATTACATGGAGCGAAGATGAAAACAAAATGCCATCGAATCTTTTCTGAAGACAGTAAGAACCCTCAGAGGTATATTCATATAATAAATTAATTCATATATTCATTTGTATAATTCCCTCAGCACTCTTTTAAAACCTCCCAGCTGTCCGCCATATTTTCACACAAAACGAAACTACTCTGCATGCTATGTGCAGGTGAGACTGTTACTTGAAACTTTGCTTTATGCTGGGCAGTCAATCACAACTCCAAGGTTTCTAGCTGTTTTTGAAGGAGTTATGGTTGATGAGCCTAACTGGATGGTGAAATTTTGATAAAGTGATGGGTTTGTTGAAACCACAAGCAGTTCCGTCTTGGCCAGGTTGAGTTGAAGGTGATGGTCTGTCATCCAACAAGAAATGTCTGTTAGACATGCTGAGATGCGAGCAGCTATTGTCGGATCATCAGGATGGAATGAGAGGCAGAGTTGAATCTCATCAGCATAGAAGGTGGTATGAAAAGCCATGTTTCTGAATGACAGAACCTAGTGATGCCATGTAGACAGAGAAGAGAAGTGTTCCAAGAACTGAGCCCTGAGGCATTTTAATTAATTAATTCATTTTAATTTATTTTAAAACTATATCTTTAAAACAGTCAATGTTACATTTGCATCAGAGATGAAACAGTATAAAAATTTCTTATCAAGATTATAGTGATCAAAATGATCACCGTTATCAGCATGGTATTGTTAAAATGTGCTGGAAATGGACATATAAAACTTGTTAAATGATTTATATTTAAAATCAACAAACAACAAATAAAATAAATTTTTGTTTGCATAAACACTAAAACCATAACATTATCAATTATGTCCGGATTTTAAGCGACCACATGACAACAGTTTATCAGTTTATCATGAAATTTTCAAATGAAGCTTTTTCAGCCTTTAAATAAAGAAAAGGGTTAGGTCAAAATGATAGGTGATTAATAAATTATTATATGTATTTTATCTGCTCCATAAATAATTCTAGATACCTTATCCGAATTGTTTAAATGTGTAGAATCCACATAAGCTTGTTTTTGATCAACCGGTCAAACTTTACAGAAGGGCATGCAAATTCAGTCTGTTTTTTGGCCAAACAAAAACTGCACACAGGCTGAATGTAAATGTAAATCCACTCTCTGAAAGCAGGTGGTGCTTATGCAACAGCAGAATAAGAGCTGTTTCTGTAACCTCCATAGACAAAGCATTGCGATAAGATTAAGAACACTTCTTTATTAGGTATTACATGGAGCGAAGATGAAAACAAAATGCCATCGAATCTTTTCTGAAGACAGTAAGAACCCTCAGAGGTATATTCATATAATAAATTAATTCATATATTCATTTGTATAATTCCCTCAGCACTCTTTTAAAACCTCCCAGCTGTCCGCCATATTTTCACACAAAACGAAACTACTCTGCATGCTATGTGCAGGTGAGACTGTTACTTGAAACTTTGCTTTATGCTGGGCAGTATTTATTTATCCCGAGTTCAAATCGCGGTAATCGAATATGGTTTTATTGATAATTCAAATATAAAACGGCAATACTAACCGTGGGGAATTTTATCATGATTTCTCATCAAACCACGTTTCATCCCTAGTTTGCATTACTGTATCGACCTCCAGCATTTTTTCTTTCTTCCACTTTGCCAGGCTGACAGATCATGGCAACGGACCCCATCAACGGTCAAAGCATCCACAAAACAGACCTGCAGGTGTCCGCTACCATGTACCAACCAAGGACAAAGCCAGATATGAGATGAAACCCTTTCTCTGACCGATATGATGTGAAATCTCTCCTTCTTCCAGTCCTCTCATATTTGTCTCTTGTCTCATGTAATACACACCTAAAGGATGTGTGCTTTAACTGAAGGTGGACACTAAAATTTGATCCAAAATAAAGATTGTGGAAACAAGCCTTTAAAGGAGAAATTGAGGAGAAAAGACAGAAAGAAAGGAGGAAATGGATAAGCTGGTTTTAAAGAGGCACTGGCATGGCCTCAGAATGACTGTGTCTGAACACATAGAGAACTAATGCACTGCATTTTGGGAAATGAAAATGAAAGTTTGTCTTACTGAGTCAGTGTTCTTGAAGTAAAGTCTGTAGTTGGTGATGAACACCTTTCCTTTGACTGCAGCATTAAAAGGGCAGATGTAGATGATGTCTTTATCTGAGGAGTAAAACAGAGTAGGAAATATATATAAAGCTCAAGATTTATTTAATACCATAAAATCTGACTTAAAATGCTTGGTGGAAAACCATTAAAGGTGCATTAAAGTTAGGTAGCTAAGATATGAATAGTACTTTTGAATATGTTTTGTCAAAACGTTGTACACTCACATTAAATGAAGATTCCAGTCATATCAGTGGTCAAGACAAAACTATAGTATATAACAAAAATCGGTCCCCCCTCATATTTTGAGATCACATGACCAACCAAGTACTTTGTTTTGATAGCCCTCTATTACTTATCTATTATTAAATAGAGCTGTGTGATGCTGCCTCCTTGTACCCATGATTTTAAGTTTTAAACTGTTTAAATACTTCATGATTCAGAGCACTTAGACAATGATTAGTGAGCCACACTAACCTGACTCACTTAGGTGCTTTATTAAGCATTTATAGGTGCTTTATTAGTATTGTAGGCCCAAAGCATATTACTCTTATGCTATGGTAATGTGCGCAGTGAACATGACAAATTTCATAGTATTTTCATGCATAGTAAAGGAGGGCTCCAGACTGCGACCAAAAATATTAATTTGCAAGTGATATTTTTGCTGAGATCGCCACTGGCAACTATAAATTTACATGTTATGACATAAAAATTTGCATGTAATGCCTTTTCTCCTGATTGTTTTGCGATCACATCTTTTGTTATGTTCAAAGTCTTAGTGGAAAAACAGTCCTCATCTCTGCCGAACAGCAGCTAAAATCAGCTCCAGTTGTGAGAGATCCAAAATGCCGGAGACGTGTGAAGTGAAAGTGCAGAAAAGCAGTGCCTATTTCGCGCACAACTTGAACAAACTACAACAGGTAAAGCTGTCAGCTGTGTGGACATTAACAATATCGTTAACAGTTCTCGTTTATAATCTATACTAATAAAGCTTCTTGTTATCAAGATCTTTAGTCTATATGCTGTGTTCTGTTAATGTGTGAACTTCATATTATTTGTAGCGCACTTGCCATCCAATAAACACAATAGGCTTAGGCACAATAGGTTACATTTTAATAAACAAATGATCAACTTTAAAACTCTGCCAAATTCTTAACGAAATTCAAACAATACATACCGTTTTGGTGCTCTTTAATATGGCATGAGCGATTTCTTAGTTCCTCAGATCAAGCAGAACGTGAACCCATAATCTTTCTCTTTACTACTATAGTACGAAATTAACATGAATGGACACCAAAAGGTATATTATAAGATATAATTGTTCCTACAGAACAACTTACTGAAATGTCTCATGTAATCACCCATTCAGTGTTACATACTGCGGAAAACATTTAAAGTATGCCTCGTAACAATCATTTACCTCAGAATAACCTTTTAGCGGTAATAAGCTCATTAGTCAGCTAGAAAAAATAACTATAAAGAGGAGCATTTTGCTAAATATAAGCACTATATTTCATATTCATATTTTTACTTAACCTGTTGTCTACATGATAAGAAAGAATGCAAGCAGCTAAAGACAAAATTCAACACCTCCAATAAAACTGCATGTTACTAATGAAGAAGAACAGACTGGATGTGTGCAAGACATATGACAACATTTATAAGATGCATTGAGCAGGCGCCCAAACTACACTCAAGGGCCAAGTGATGCTGAAATAATTATGGTCTGTGATATTGGCACAGATCCTGTATATTAAACAATTCTTTGTGACTGTATATAGTTCTCAAGTTGGAAAAGACGTTTAGTTCCCACTCTAAGTGAACCTTAGTTCCCAAGACATCTACAAGATGGATTAAAATGCTTATGCTGTAAAAGGAAGGGAGACATAAATACATGACAGTATGACTGAAATGTTAAGGTGTTATGTTAAAATAAATAAATAAAACGCATTCTGTGGCACTTAAAAAAATTATTTGGCGCCTATTTATGTTTCTTATAGGATTCTGGAGCCCTGGCAAGCATGAACTGTATGCATGCAGGCTGATTTTTCTAACCACACACACTCTGTATGCTCAACTTGCATATGCATCTTGATTTATTTTGATTCAATAACTTCAGAAGAGAAATAGCGCAGACACTGGACAAGGATGAAACTTTCTAGTGTGCAAGTGTCGTGCACACTATCAAATGGAGCACAATTTGAAAGGCAACGTGTTCGGCTATATGAACCATTTGAACATTAAATTTCAATGTGTCAATATTAAAATACATTTTAAAATATACTAGTATGACCAAAAGGCTTATGTAGATATAAGATTAATTCTTATTCAATAAGAGCCAACAAACATGCACACATGCTCTCACTCACCGATCACTCTCTCTTCTCCCGGCAGCATGGCAACATCTGCCAGCGGCTCCATCTTCAGGCTCTCTCTGGACGCCTGTCAACACATGCAGGAACATTGGGTTGACATGGGCACATCCCTCACACACACAAACGATCACAACTGTTTCTACTCACAACATTAATACACTACAGTTCTGAGCACGACTTTACTCAGTGGCATCTGATCAGAGGGGAAAAAACGCTGGGGAAAAATATTTGAGAGTGACTGGAGGTAATGGAAGAGGAAGTAGTGAAGAGAGGAAAATAAAGAGTAAGAGGAGACTGTCCTCTTTCACCCTCTGTCTATGAGCACCAGTCTGATGCTCTGTGTGTGTGTGTGTGATCAGGGATCCAGATTGCCTTTCCCTGGGCTATTTTCCTGCCGCCAGTTGAAGGTTAGTGAACTGGAATGTGAGCTAAGAGTGCCTTTTGCTGCTGTTCAGTGTTTGCATGTCACAACCCTGTGGGCAGAGTGAAGCAAGGGCTTCTGGGTAATGGTCTAGCCTGTGTTCTTGAGATGACAAATGGAGCAGCCAAACACACACACACACACACACACATACAGTGATCCTAGCTGGAAAATGAACCTGTTTCACACAAATAAGAAGTAGTTGGGTAAACAGAAGAGGGTAGATGAGGAAGGGGGAGAATAAAAAGCAGCCAACTAGTAAGAGGATTAAAAGAGAAACGTTAAAGACATCTTAAAGGTACAGTGCTTTTTTTTTTTCTGCAACATTCGTCTGCAATTGTTCAGTCATCTGGGAAATCAAGCCCAAATGGCTTATACAGTGATCCTAGCTGGAAAATGAACCTGTTTCACACAAATAAGAAGTAGTTGGGTAAACAGAAGAGGGTAGATGAGGAAGGGGGAGAATAAAAAGCAGCCAACTAGTAAGAGGATTAAAAGAGACACGTTAAAGACATCTTAAAGGTACAGTGCTTTTTTTTTTTCTGCAACATTCGTCTGCAATTGTTCAGTCATCTGGGAAATCAAGCCCAAATGGCTTAGTTATAATCATTTCTGCATATTAAGCTGTGATAGAAAAAGGAAGAAAGGAGACTCACTAAGATAAAAAGAGGCAAACAGAAGCAATCACAGAGACAGATGGAGGATTCTCTGTACAAAATCTCTCTGGCTGTCCTTGGGGACCCTGGAAAAACGGAGACTTGGGTTCTGCTGCCTATCACCTGCCAGGTGTTACAGCTCCACTAACATATGCATGGAACAGCAGTCTCCTGGCTCAAGCCCTAGTGATGTGCCAACTCCCTGTCTGTCTGGAATCCCCTCTGCCCAGAGACGTTCCCTTTGCCAAGCCAGACACTGTTCGTGTAGGGAGCTCTGCTTTTAAAGGAAACAATCTATTTTGCTTTAACCACTATTACAAGTTCCCATTTGAATTACACAATTTTCACATATTTAGCAATGTGCAATATGCAAGCGTATTATTAATCACTCTATAAATGTACTGAATAGCTATGCTGGACTGAGTGCACTTAAAATAGACCAACTGGATAGATGACAAATAACGTGGACATCAACTTTCTTTTTTAACATCATGGCCCTATGTAAAAAAAATAGTTCCATTGTATTATGTTATATTTTATCATATTATATAACTATATTAATAACCCTATTCTAAATTAAATGAAAATGAAATTATATATATTTTCACCATTTGCTTTTGCAGCAGTTCACTTAAATAAGTCCTGGGGTGTGAAATTATTTTTTAAAAGTGCTAAAAACACGAGGCCTTGAAAATGCTGTTTAAAATAGCTCAAATGTAAAATAAGTTGTCAATAAAAGAAGCACAAGGCAGCATATAGCTCTTCTATAACATCTATATGGCTGTTTAATGCTATAGGAAAGCAGAGCAAAGGGCAGCTCTATTGATACCAGTGAAGTCCATTATTAATTCATGCAGAAAACAGAAGTCTAACCCTCCTACAACAGCATTGCACACTTACAGGATAGTGTAGTTTGTAAAGCAAAGGGGAAAAAATGAGAAACATTCTGTTACAGTCAAAGGACAGCACAATTACAGCATGTTTGCACGCAGACTTTACTCACGTTTGGGCTGGAGCTGTTCCCCAGAGGACTGGAGTTGTAAGGTGCTATAGGAGCCGAGGCCATCACTGGGTTTGCTTCTTCCACCTCCACAAGAGACATGTAATTTTCTTTCAGCTCAACAATATAGTTTTTTTTCTGCTGGCCAGTATAGTTCAGATTTGTACATTTTCAGTCGATTCACTATAAAAATATCTGTATTTATTTCTGACATCTACATTTAACTTTATAACAACTACAAATGGGCAATAAAGGTATGAAGTGATTTAAACGCATTCAAACAGATGCTTCAAAGACTACTACAAATCATCTACACTATATATCATTCAAAAGTTTGGGGTCGGTATAATTTTTTTGAAAGTCTCTTATATTCACCTGGGCTACATTTTACATCACAATTAAATTATTATATATTGTGAAATACTATTACAATTTAGGCCAATTTAGGCCTATAATAGTGTTTCTATTTAAACACATTTTAAAATGTAGTTTATTCCAGTGATTCCAGTCTTTTGTGTCACATGATCCTTTAGAAAATCATTTTAATATGCTTATTTGGTGCTCAAATAAGATTTAATCTTATTATTAATATTGAAATCAGTTGTGCTACTTATTTTTTGGGGGAAAATGTGGTTGTTTTTATTTTAGGATTCTTTGGTGAATATACATTTCAAAAGAAATTTGAAGTTTGAGCATTTATTTGAAACAGAATTTTTTGTAACATTATAACTGTTTACTGTCAATTTAAAGGGTTCATATGATGCGATTTCAAGTTTTCCTTGCTCTTTGGAGTAGGGATGGGCGATATGGGCTTAAAAATATATCACGACAATTTCTGATATTTATTGCGATAACGATATCAATGACGATAATTTAGGGAATCCTCTTTCTTTAGAGAAAAGTGTTATCTTTCCTATTTTTACCCAAAATAGGGTGTTGTGAGCATTACTGAGTACACACGTAATGTAATGACTGTTTAATTCATACTGGAAGCCGGCGGGCGCCCTTGCACAGAAACTCCACATATGCATAGTAGAAGTAATGCTCCAGGAAGAAGTATCCAGTGATCGCTGTAGCTGAATAAAACGCAGATAGAGAAATTTTAACTGAGGAAACCTGAAGACAATAAACATGCGATTGCACAAAATATATGGTATCTGTGTTCTTCAAGCAATCTTGTGTATTTTTTATAAGGATAAAGTATATTTATAATGCAACGCTAATCGACATAGCCTTTATCACTGTATATAATGCTATAAATAGTATGATTTCTGCCTTATTCTGTGATACGAAAC